GGATACTAAACGAACACTGATGCATCTATTCTTGTTTACAAATTCCGCCAAGAGAGAACTGGTTTCAATATGTACGCAGAGTATATGCGACCGCAATTAACTTTCCTTGCATTAGTACCTTGGTCTTTGTTACTAAACATTTAGGGCGCATAGCACCCATCTTTTATTTCAACTTTTAATTGTGGTTTTATCTGTGAACATCTTTCCTTTGTACTTAAAATATAAAACAATAACAAAAAATCGCAGATTTAATCATATTCATCATAAACTATTAGACACTTATTTTTGTAATTTTGAGCATCCATTAACATTCTCTGGGTTCATGTGAGGTCCCTCAAAAAATTTGGGCCCGATCGGTTAAGCCGTTTTGACGTTTTTGGTTACAAACAAACACCAGAACAGACAAGTAATATATATGCAGATTCTGAAACTACTAAAACCCTGTCATTCAGGAATTATTAGGAATGGACAAAGTTTTGCTACGAAAAGATTTCATCTGAGAAAGTCATGGGAAAGAAAGTATTTGGAAAAAAGTACTTGAAATAAAAACACAAAAGACAAGTTTTTTGAATAAAAGTCATGTTAATACCGATTTTTTCTGGATTCTTTCATTATAGTCTGCAGGAAAAGTAACTATAAGAAAATGAATAATAATCAAAGAAGAGTCTGGAAAAAAGTCATTGAAATAAAAGTGACTGAAATAAATAAAAATTGCATTACACTAAAGTACATTGCATAAACATGATCAAACAGGGGTAATTTGTTTAACGCAAATGTTGTTGATCTAAATTTTTAAATCAATTTGAGTTTATTTCTAAAAACAGCTTTCAGTGGACTTTTTTTCCTATGACTTTTATGGATAAAATCCTACCATGACAGGAGATCCAAGCTTTGGATAACAAGTCAGGACTTTATTTCCTCAAAAATAATTTCCATGACTTTTTCCGCAGGAACTTTTTAGTGCCGGAAATTATGACATTTTTCCAAATATTTTTTTACTTTTGACATTATTGGTTCTTACCTTTTAGACTCCGAGATCAGATTGTTAATCTTAAAAGCTTGAGCTCTATATCCATAGAGAAAGGAATATATAGAGAGGAATTAAAAGAATCTCTCGGTATGAATTTTGTCAGTCCCTTTCAGCCTGAAAGGGAGTTCAA